AGGCAATATATTTAAGAATAAGCACACTGACCGAATCTCTGCAGTTAAGTTGTTCTTATCCTTACACTGCCTCTGATGTGGGAAGCGGAATTAAGCTTTTCAGCAATGACACATTGGTCAATTGATGAAGTTAAGAGAAACCGAAAACATACTCCCACCACAGCTGAAATGCCTTTCATCAATGCCTCCCACAATTTGCTAAATTGCTCGATGTTCTCCTTGCATCCACAGAGAAGTGCCCTGTGTTATTCTGGTCATTAAGAATAACTGACTTGAGCCTGTTTTCTGCTATTAGATAATGGCTATTTGATAGCTATAATTAAAGTGTAGCATTTCTATTTGATCTTTCTAAATGTGCTTTTGATTAACTTAAACCACATTGCCCCAGAGAATAGCCAGAAGATTGCATGATTCTACTACTCTGTTAAAGCTAAGCTGCGCTCTCTAACCTGTCTGGAAGTCCCACTTGCTCCACACTTCCTGAAGGACAAGTGGAATATGTATAATAAATAATAATAATATACTTCTGTACCATAAACACTTTTCAGATACCGAGGCTCATGGGAGGAAAAACCAGCAGTTCACATTACATTAGATTCATTTCAGATAAAGAGAGCAGCAGCCACAGTGTGGACTAAACCAGACATTTTACAGTCGGGTCCATGATCGGATCTCTCAGCAATTTTATTTGTAGCTACATGTAGCTGGGGAAGGCTTTGGATTTGATTGGGAGTCCTGGTGCCATGAAATGGGGGTTAACTCCTCCTTTCCCTTGCTATTTCCCCAATCTAAAGCTCCTTCCTGAAGTGCTAAAAATGCATTCAGCCAGGATGGTCAACATTTTAACCATTTGCCACGAAAAATGTTGCATTGTTCTACAATGCAGGTTATGTGGTGCCTTTTCCTGATATGTGCCCTGCTTCTGAAGTTTTCACCATTGTTGGTACTTCCTTAAGTAAGTCCTGACTATACCGACATGTTTAGGAGACAAGCATCTTGCAATATTCTCCACTCTTGCTATGAACTTTATTCTCTATCACAGCCTGTATCACTTTACAAAATGTGCCGAAGCTGACCTTGTATTATTTAACAATGCCTGTTGGTGTACAGCGTCTGCCTACCTCTCTCTAGAAAGGGGAATGTGTCATTTCTGACCTTTGACAACCTCTGTACCTTGCCAACTCATGGAGATGTTTTAAGGTCCCAATGAGTAATAGCCAGATAGGCAGACTGTTAGGCTGCAGAGCAGTTCTGGCAGTAAGCCTCGTTGAACTCAATGGGGCTTACCCCTGAGTTGAAATCATCTGGTAGCGTTTATCTACTATATTATTTCCCACCTATTCTCCAAAGAAGCATAGTTGGTTCCTCCCTACAACCTGAGAGAGGTGTTAGGCTGCAAGAATGTGATCAGCCCAAGACCACTCAGTGAAGTTTGCAGGCAAGTCGGGATTTGGAACCAGGCTCATTGGTCCCATTGGCTGGGGCTGATGGGAGCTGGGAGTCCAATATCAGGAGGGCCAGAAGTTAGAAAACCCTGATCCAAGATGTAATTCTAGATGACATGCCCCTCCACCCCCAAATGAGCAGGAAACACACATTTAAAATAGCCCAGGGAGCACAGGAGGGAAAATTTGGAACAGAGAACATGTTCCTGCTTCTCTGCTCTCAACTGCCCACACTCAGTGCCATAACAGCTACCAGAACACCAACTCCTTTGCTTCCTATTCAGCCTCCAGTAATGGTACTGAGGGACCTAGGGATACTGCAGATGGGAAGCACCATTGGAGCTCTCAGTCCCCAAGGTTCTAGTGAACCCTGAACATGGTTATTCTAAAGTTGATATATTCAGTGTTAAACAAATATGTCAATTTTATCACCGCTTGTTTCAACTGAAATGACACATACAAGGTTGCAGTAAAGAACCTGAATATTATGTTTCCATGCTGCGTTTTAGATTTGAATACTCCCATCCGAACTGATGTAAGGGTCAAACTAATTTCATTGAGTTGATTCAATTCAATATTCTGGATAGGCTGCATTATCATCATTGTATGTCACCTTGTTCCATCCCTTTCAGATACACATCTCAACAAACAAAATAATATAATTGTCTGTTTTCTCTCAGTGCAAAAAAGTCAGGTTTTGTTGATATTTAATGGTGAATGCATTCTGCGAACAATTACTTGGTAATTACTTGATAAAAGTAAACAATTATTTTTGCAGACTTAGGAGACTATTCTTAAAAAGTGTCAGGAAGTCTCTTCTGAGAGCTGTTTCACACATTATGTATGATGGTGACATTTGTTGCTGTGGTTGGGGCAAGAAGCTAATCCTGCTTCCCTGGGGAGGTTATCTGTAGAAACCACTCATTTGCCACAGAGATATAGGGTACATATATATCTATATAAAAGCATGTCTAAACCACTTTTCATTTCATTTCACTTTTAATTTGTATATCACCTTTCTATATTCTTATACACAAGGCAGTTTACAACACCAAAATATACATGAAAGATCACACACCTTATAATAATCTGATCCAATACAAAAGTCATAACGAAAACATAACTTTAAAATAGACAAATAAAATTCAATAACCCATTAGAATATATTAACACACAATAAAATTAACTCTCAATATCATCAAATAACAATTAAGCAGGAACTTCACTCTTAACGATTACAATAATTACTAACTAAAATCAATAAAAATAGCAGCAAGTCACAGTGCATATATAACATAAAACTTTAAAAAATGTAAAAGATTCACCATTTAATACTTAAAAATCCCTAAGCAGTATACTTACATTTCTGTATGATAAAAAGAGAGGTACAAACATAAAAATATAATATAATATGCACGTGTATGATAAAAAATGCACATGTAAGCATTTTATATTTAAAAATATTTAATATGTTGTGTTTGCTGTTTTTCACTGAAAGATAGTTTGATGACTGAAGTCCATTTAATAGCAGACACTGCAGTGATTTATATGGTGAAAAGCTCCATGAGTTCAAACTAAGCATCCTGATGAGACAAGTCTAGTGGATCCATTTTTTAAAGAAGTAAAAATGGACATTCCATAGCTATAATTCATGTGTGGCAGTTCAACCATTGAGATTTGCTGAGGTTTTTTTGTGGTTCTACCTTTGGGTGATGCAGGAGAGTTGCTTAGGGTCTTGTCTGTTGCAACAGCTCATTTATGGAACTCCCTGCCTAGGACAACTGTGCAACAATGCAGTCATCAACTCAACATGCACCTGTTTACCTTGACCCTTGGGACCTGGGAACAGAATGAGGCGGCTTCACAGGCCTCCCTGGAGCACAGAATCAGTCTTTCACTGCTAATCTACATTGAGGAGCTGTGAGGCAGACATCCAGGGCTCTACTCAGCAGATAGGCCCCCTGCTGTAGCACATATTAAAGTGAAGTAATACACATTACCACCTAAAGGAATGGGTGTGCATAAGACTATTAAATCCAGCATCTAAAATTATCTAACTGAGTTTCAGTCCCCACCATTTCTATATCCAGGAGAGCAGACATGGGGTGGGTAGACTTCAGACTTTTGGGCTCTACTTTGTTTTCTGTTTTTGCTTTAAACCAGAAACCCCTTTACAGTATATATTGTTTTTCAAAACCATTCCTGATGCACCTAACTCCACCCCTGAGTTCTGAACAATACAAACATATAAGAGCCATTAGATTGGGCCAAAGGACAATCTAATAATCCTGATCCAGGATCGTGGATCTAATGATCAGATGACTATGGAAAGCCCACCAAAAAAAGCCTTGCGTGCAACAGTGCTCTCTTCACTTGTGATTCCCAGCAGCTGGCATTTTGCTTCTCAGCGAAAAGAGAACATAATGTTATACTAGCTATAGTGACTATCTTCCATGAATTTGTCTAAGCCCCTCTGAAAACCACCCAAGTTGGTGGCCAACATCTTATGGGAGCAAATGCCACTGTTTTAACAATGTGAGGTGAAGAAGTACTTCCTCCTATCTGTCCTAAAACTTCACCAGCTCCCCTGGAAGGCTCCAAGCTCTAACATTATGAGGGAGAAATGTTTCTCTACTTTCTCCACATCATATTTACACACCTTTACCAAGTTCCCCTTACTCCCTTGTTTTTCTTCTCAACTAAGAAGACCATATTAGAAGCAAAAAAACTTGTTCTGATGAATCGGAAGAGCCGCAAAAAGATTCCACTGAGCACATGGATTGACAATATGGACAGACTAGCCACATACGAACGAATTGCATGTCAACGCAAATTAAGAATGGATAAATATGAAGAAATCTGGAAGGAATATTTAAGCGATAAGGCAGACAGTGGGGGGAAGTAGGGGGATGAGAGGTGGAGAAATATTGTTAAAAAGGTGTAGTCATAGGTATATCAGTACAGTGGTTTTTTGTTGTATGTGTTTTTTGTGGTTGTTGTTTGTATTGAAAAATGATTAAATAAATTAAGAAGACCCAAATATTGCGACTTTTCCTCATATGGAAGGCAACTTTTGTTTGTGTGAAGGGACTGGCGACTGAAGACGAAAGGTGGCTTGTGAGACGTGTTTGCTCCAGATCACTTAGAGTGGCAAATCCTCTAATCCTCAGAAGAAGCAGGCAGCGGTTGACCGTGTGACCCAAGAAGCACTGTCAGCTTAGCAGGAGAAACGGACCTTCTTCCCGGCAAGGCTGCACTCTCCTACCCTTTCCAATCGCGCTTGAAAGTACAACCCAAAAAGGGGCTCGTGGGTCCCAAAGTCGCCCTTCCTGCCGGCCCTCCGCGCTCTCGAGAACCAACGAGCGAAAAGCCAGCGGCGGGGAAACACCTACCGAGCGCTTGTGTTCGGTTCCCAAGGGGTAGCCATGGCACGATGATCCACCCCGCGGGAAAGGGCGGGTAGCTCGAAGTAACAAGCCCGGGGCAGCGCCAGCGATCACGTGGCGGCGAGGGGCGCGTGCTTGTGAGGCGTTTGCTCAGGGCAGCCGCGCAGGGGGCGCCTCGCGGCTGCGCTGCATTTCCTCGCCGTCCGAACTCCGGCTGGGGGCGCGTCCTGCGTCTGGAAGCGATTGGCTGGCGAGGCGCGCGCGGGGGCTGAGCTCCGCGCCGAGGCGGCCCCCTCGCCCACCTTACAAATGCCGCCCAGCCCGCGCGCCAAACTTCACTCCAACTCCGCCGCTGGGCGCTCTCGCGCTCTCCTCGTTGCGCGCCTGAGGTGGCCTCGCGCCCCTGCCTGCCTCTCCTCCCTCTGCAGTTGCTGTGGCCGAGGCGGCTGCCGGGGCTTGCGCTTCTTGGGGCAACTCCGGCGGCAGAGACATGCCTCCGTCGTCGGCGCCGGCTGCTCCCTGGAAAAGCTTCACTCTGGCTTTGCTCTTAGCCACCGGCGGAGCGACTCCCTCGAGGCGGGTGAGTCGTGACGGGGAGGAGGGCGCGGGGCGAAGGCGCGGGGCTGAGCGCTATAACCGAGGGCGCTTGGCCAGCTTGCAGCTTGGCTACTACTACTCGACGGGGTTTGCTTCTCTTTGCTCGGCTTTCCCTCCACGGTCTTACCCCGAGCGAGTGCGAGAGGAAGGGGTGGAGAAGCACCATTTGCCCCAGCTCTAGGGCTGCCGGCGTCGATCCCTCTCGCTCCCACCCCCAGCCAGCAAAATCAGGGAGCGTCGTCTTTTGAGCCACTTTCTCCCGCCCCTCGGACAACTCCCTTGTCTTCAGGCAGTTCGGTCTGCGAGGACAGAGGAGCTCGACGTAGTTGGATTTCTTGGCAGTTACCATTCTCCCTTCCGCCGCTTTCCTCCTTCCGTAGGCCAAGGGCAGTCGGGCTATGCTGCATCTATATCAGCAATAGTGCGGGAGGTGGGTGGGTGGGGGAGTTCCGTTATAAAGCTGGCGGGGTTGCAACCACCGTCAAAAGTTTATACGATCTACACAGTTTTTTGATTTGTTTTTCTAAATCATTGCTTATCAAATGGCTGTTTGCAACCGGTATCGCAAAGCAGCGTTCAGAAACTGAGTGCTCCACTGGTCTAAGACGCGCTCATCTAAAAATCTTGACAATATAATAGAGACATGCCTGGCACAGGGATGAAAAGGGGGGCCGACTTCTCCTTGAGTACTGGCGGACTGATTTTTCTGGGTGTCAGGCGTTTCTAAACAAAAGCCACTTGATCCCAGCTGAAGCATCTCTGCTATAGTTCACTCTGGAGCTGTTTCCTACAGCCATACAAGCACTCCTCTGCCTCTTGGTGTCTGCTGTTATGTGTGGCATTACTTTTAGAAGACTATTGGGGGTGGGATGCTCAGATTAGTTGGCCGTGAATGGGGCTGTGTCAGGGACTTGGTTGGAATTAAGTGAACTTGCAAAGACAGCTTCAGTTTGTATATAGGCTACTCAAGCAGCATCTGCATTGGGGTATACAGTACCCATATATGAACGAATTGAATGAATTTTTATTACTTCGGTCACAGACCAGTTCCAGCCCACATACAATATCAAGGCAGTCATAAAACACGATGGGGATACATTTGAATTTGCAATTAGGTATAACAGGGACAATACAGATATAGCAACAGTTAAAAAATACATATATTAAAACTTAGTCACTAACATATAACCTAAAATTATCATTTAAGGCCTTAATCATTATGATAGCATAGCTTGTTCCCTAAGTTTTACGGCAATTGTACAGAATTTGGCTACCCTTAACGGGATCTCAGGATCCTTGTCCTCTACCAGGGATTTGCTAGTGGAGAATAAAATATAGGGATTTCAAAAAGGTGTTGAATGGCCTTATTTGCGCATCATTACCTTATCCATACCAGTCTCAGTGCTGGGTTTCAGCATTCTCAGAACTGGGAAGGTGTGATGCTGAATATATTTTAAGTATGTCTGTATAAAATGTTTATGAATTGTGGGTGCTTTTCTTTTCTTTAAAAGGGTAAAATTTCTTACCTTTGTGACTTTAAATATTTTTACGGACCTGAAAATAAATACCTAAAAATGCTAAGCTTTGTGTAGCTAATGAATGTTTTTGCTCATGAGAAAGATGCAGTGGGATTCTCCTCCAAGGAAGTGTGCATGCAGGCCAAGAATCTTTTGTGGTCTCAGCAACTTCACATAAATTTAAACTTCTTAAAAGAATCATGGTTTACCTTCATTTACCTTGAAGTAGTTTTGATTCAACTGCAGACATTCTGGACATTTTGACACCTGCGAATGAGCATCATGTGCCTCTTTGCCAGTAGAATTTGGCGCCTATTGTAAGTGTTGATCAAAAGGAAATGGTAGATTATGTGGTCAGACTTTTTTTTAAAAAAAAATCATGCATCCCATAGAAAATGCTAGGAAAGAGAACAAGATGGTTTTGCAATAATGGAATAAACCTCCTTATTTGTCTTAGTTACCGTATTTTTCGCTCTATAAGATGCACCAGACCATAAGACGCACCTAGTTTTTGGAGAAGGAAAACAAGAAAAAAAATATTCTGAATCCCAGAAGCCAGAACAGCAAGAGGAATAGCTGCGCAGCGAAAGCAGCGATACCTCTTGCTGTTCTGGCTTCTGGGATAGCTGCGCAGCCTGCATTTGCTCCATAAGACGCACACACATTTCCCCTTAGTGAGTCTTATAGAGCAAAAAATATGGTATACTGTAGCTGTTAGCAAATTATTGCCAATCCTCTTGGTTGACACAGCATCCAGAAAGAGCTTTCAAACTAGGTGTGCTGGAAAAGATCCTGAGGGATATTTTTTTTTAAAGTATGGGCAGTAAAGTATCATGAAGTTCAGTTAGCTGGTCTGAAGATAATGTCCCCCGTAAATAGAATGTTAAGTTTATGCTGCAGTGTGAGTTTATTCAAAGCATTAACAGGCAGTGCATGAAGCCAAGACTGAATTGCTAGTTGAAATACATGACTTTAAAGAATGGGAGAGAGTATCAGCAAAATGTCTAATTTTGCTTTATTAGTTTTGCCATTAATGTAGAAAGAGTACTTGGGATAGGATAATTATTCTTTTGTGATTCAGTACCTTCAGTATTTAGCCTTAAAAAAAACCTTTTGGGGGTCTTTCAAGGTCTTGTAGTAGTACCATTTATATATTTACTACATTTATGTTCTGTCTTTCTGCCAAGGAACTCACAATGGCATAGTTGCCTCCTCTCCCCTTCATTTTCTCTTCAACATAACCATGGAGGTAGATAATGTTGACTGACACTGACTAACCCATGATCATCTAGTGTGTTTCATGGCTGAATTGGGTTTTAACTTTGGTCTCCTTTGTCCTAGTCTAACCACTGTACCATGTGGACATGTTGAAGAGAGTTCTGGTCCCTCTCCTGCAAAACAACAAAGGTTTATTAAAAACAAATAAAAGGTATAATTTAATAAATGGTTAGTCATTGTCCTGCTTTCTGGAGTATCTTCTGACCTAGTAAGTTCCAGTGTCCCCCTTGCTTGTCAGGAGGTGTCTGGTCCTTGAGGTCAAGCACAATAATTGCCTGTGAAATGGGTTTGCTTTATGAAGAGGAAGTGAGACTCTGAGTTCGATGATGAGGATTAGAGGAGATATGGCAGGAATGGTGTCATTGGGGTAGTGGAAGAAGAATGACACGCTGTTGCATACTTCAATGGATCCTTCATTAGTATTCCATGGGTCCAAGACTGAACGAAACAGAATTACAAAATGAGCAGATAAAGGATGGAGAAGGAGGCTGCCGCCACCACCACAGTAGTGCAGGTGACAGAATGAGGCCATTTCAACAGTAAGAATTGAGCAGAATGAGAAGATGCAGAATGAAAAGCAAAGACTCATATCTTTGTCCCATTTGCTTAAGAGAACAATCTTAAGATGCAAGCTTCTGTGACAAGGCCTCATTGAGGATGAGGGAGGATAGGCTTAGGCAGATACTGTTTTTGCTGTAGGCAACCCAAGGAGCTGCTCAACAGACGGACTTGAAAGAGGCACTTTCTTCTTTAGAATTACATGAGCTCTTGGTGCAGTTTTATAACCAAGCCTCTCTGCATTTCTTCTCTTGACCAGGTGGCTTTGCCCTGAGTTGGACTTGTGCAGTGTCTTCTGGTTTCTATTAATGTGCCCTCATTCTGTCACCTGCAGTATATTACTATACTGCAAAAATGAGGGATCAGTCCCAATGGGGCTGCAAACATTTTTTTTAAAAACAAAAGTTTTACCAAATAATAGTAGCCTCTTAATGTTGTAATAAAAAGTTTTCAATATGTTAGAGCTAATAACACGATTCTTCAAAAGGGAGCTGCACATTAAAGAAGGGAAGGTTATTACAAAACGGTCCTTTAAATATTTGCCACAACTCGCTATTTCCATTTTTTAAAGATGCCCAACATAGGGTTTAAAAAGCAAAGAATATGATAACTTGTACTCCACTAACACAATTCTGGCAACATCGAGCAATTTAAAGTTGAATTTAGTAAGGCTTATAAAATGATAACTTTAGGCTGGATGGTACACTGTGAGAATGAAGAGAGCTTGTTTGAAAACTCCTTAACACACGCAAGACTGAATAAAAGGTCATGTTCATTCCTGTTGCAACTAACCACGGAAAATAGAGGTAAAGGGGCCCCTGACCATTAGCTCCAGTCGTGGCCGACTCTGGGGTTGTGGCGCTCATCTCGCTTTATTGGCCAAGGGAGCCGGCGTACAGCTTCCGGGTCATGTGGCCAGCATGACTGAGCCGCTTCTGGCGAACCAGAGCAGCGCACGGAAACGCCATTTACCTTCCCACCAGAGTGGCACCTATTTATCTACTTGCACTTTGACGTGCTTTTGAACTGCTAGGTTGGCAGGAGCTGGGACCGAGCAACGGGAGCTCACCCCGTCGCAGGGATTCGAACCACGACCTTCGAATCGGCAAGCCCTAGGCTCTGTGGTTTAACCCACAGCACCACCCGCGTCCCTTAACCGCGGAAAATACACACCTCAAAAGATGCTGTTGATCAGCTAGCTGCCCACATCCAAGTTTTCTTGTTCTCTAAGCCATATGTTTAAGTTCAATTCTATACATGGTTATTCAGTGGGACTTCTCTCAGGTAGGTGTGCATTGGTTTATAGCTTTATTGGCAAAATTATTGGCAAATTTCAAGAAACCCATCCATCTATGCTGCTTGCTTTTCCATTTCTGTTTAAAGTTCCTTAAATGTTTCTAACAAAGTAATATATGTCAAACATCTGTTGGTTTAATGTTGTACTTTATTCGCATTCATGTACTGCTCAACTTGAAATGTGCTCACTTGAAATGTGCATTTCTTGTGCTCTGTTGTCTCTGGGGAGCTCCTCATAGATATTTCTGCTGTTCCAATAATTAACCCATTCAATCAGTGGTATGCAAGGTATCTTGAATAAACTGGGATGAAATGAAGAGAAGCTCTTTTACTT